GTGCTGTTTTCAGAGAAGAGCTGCTAGATTTAACATTGACATGGTAGATCAATGTGGTTTTTTGGTTTGAATCCGTATACATAGTGTACTGAAACTTTTGTTGTGCATGTCCGTAAAAATAGTGCCAGAAAAAGTTTTTTGTACATGTCCGTAAAAATATTGTCCGTAAAAGTTTGTTATATATGGTTGTAGAAGTTGTTTCCGTAATCATCTTTTGAATGTGTCCGTAGGTTTTACTTGTGCATGCTTTTGTTGTTTACGTGTCTTTCTGTACTTAGTATTTGTACTTGTTTGTAGGCTTTACAAATACGTTTTGTTTGTTGTCTAAGCTTGACTGCCTCGTTATTGTGTCTGACTTGGTCTATCCTTAAAACCGTTGTTGTGGAGTTTATAAAGTAGCGACATTTTAACGTGTTAAACACTGTTGGTGTTGTTGGTTTGTAGGGGTGGTTTTTGTGTGTTGGGTGTTGTTGGTATAGGGTAGGTGGTGTTGGTATAGGGTAGGTGGTGTTGTTGAGTTGTTGGTGGTGTTGGCATACGGTAGGTGGTGTTGGTGAGTTGTTGTTGGTGTTGGTATATAGTGGGTGGTGTTGGTGAGTTGTTGGTGGTGTTGGTATACGGTGGGTGGTGTTGGTGAGTTGTTGTTGGTGTTGGTATACGGTGGGTGGTGTTGGTACGTTGTTGTTGGTGTTGGTATACGGTGGGTGGTGTTGGTGAGTTGTTGGTGGTGTTGGTATACGGTGGGTGGTGTTGGTACGTTGTTGTTGGTGTTGGTATACGGTGGGTGGTGTTGGTGAGTTGTTGGTGGTGTTGGTATACGGTGGGTGGTGTTGGTGAGTTGTTGTTGGTGTTGGTATACGGTGGGTGGTGTTGGTGAGTTGTTGTTGGTGTTGGTATACGGTGGGTGGTGTTGGTACGTTGTTGTTGGTGTTGGTATACGGTGGGTGGTGTTGGTGAGTTGTTGGTGGTGTTGGTATACGGTGGGTGGTGTTGGTGAGTTGTTGTTGGTGTTGGTATACGGTGGGTGGTGTTGGTGAGTTGTTGTTGGTGTTGGTATACGGTGGGTGGTGTTGGTGAGTTGTTGGTGGTGTTGGTATACGGTGGGTGGTGTTAGTGTGTGTTAAGATGGTATTTCTAGGTGGTAGGTGGTATTGTTATGTGGTAGGTTGTATTGCTATGTGGTAGATGGTGTTGGCATATTGTGGGTGTTGGTATATTGTGGGTGGTGTTGGTATGTTGTTAGCCTACACCCAGACTGCAACCATTGTGCAATGTTCAATCATGTTCACACAATGCACACGTGTACACGTCCTATGTTTTCACAACGCCAACACATAAAAAAAAATAACCCTATGTTATAATCAAACTCCCCCCTCCTAGTCACGATACGTGAAACGATTCTTTGGCTAGAGCGAGCCACCTGTTGCAGGCTTGATTAGGGGACGTAACTTGCTTCATCGGCAAACATTCTTTACTAGCAAAAATCCCGTAATAAGTTAAGAGCTCCTTTGATCCTTTCACAAATATGTCTTCCTATGTCGAAGACAATTGATGTGAAGTTATTCTGAGCCAGATTTTGTCGGTCTATAACTTGGTCTAAATGTCGCTGGAATAGAATTTGTTGGTCTATAAGATGGTCTAAATGTCGCGTCACCAGAATTTGTTGGTCCATAAGTTGATCTAAATATCGCTGGACCAGAATTTGTTGGTCCATAAGTTGGTCTAAATATCGCTGGACCAGAATTTGTTGGTCCATAAGTTGATCTAAAATATTGCTGGACCAGAATGTGCTGGTCCATAAGTTGAAGTGCCTCTTAATGTTTCTAGTTCGTATTTCGCTGGTTTATGTTGAGCTGGCCCCAAAATACCTTGGATTAATTTTTTATGCGGTTTGTCCACGTATTGGTGGTTCAAATGTTGGATAGAAGGAGCCCCCCCCTCCCTCCCCTCCCCCCTCACGCGCGCCTATACACACGTGCAGCGCCCACTGATGTGCATATCCATTGGACTGCTCAAAGTTGCACGAATAAAATTTCTCCCAGCGGATTAAGGTCCCTTAATCCCTGACATTTTAATCCGCTTATCACAATCTTAGATATTATACCGACCAGAACAATTGATTAAAGGATTAGAAATAAATCTTTGAACAAAACAGCGGTGGCCGCTCGCCCGCTAATCTGCTTGGGTAAATCTTTTTATTATAGTTTGAGTTTTGTTTTACTCTGGTTGATAGCTGGCTGCTAAATCAAAGATCCCGAGTGTGTTGTTTAGTTTAGATCGTGCACGTTTCAAGGTATGATTCGTTTGCTACACACAGGCATGCACAGGAAACCACTTCCCTCACACACATAACCTACCCCCCCCCCCCACAGAAACCACTTCCCTCACACACATAATTCACTTCTCCCTCCCCACTCCACCATCAGAAAACCACTTTCTTTCCACATAACCTACCCCCACCCAGAAAACCACTTTCTTTCCACATAACCTACCCCCACCCAGAAAACCACTTTATTCCCACATAACCTACCCACACCCAGAAAAACCACTTTCTTCCCACATAACCTACCCACACCCAGAAAAACCACTTTCTTCCCACACTATCCTAACATATCCCCCACCTAAAGAAACAAATTTCTTCCCAGACGTAATCTACCCCCCCCCCCCCACCCCACACACACACTTTCTAGAAGTCTAGCTCCACATCAACTAAATCAGAAACCACTTTAACCACCACAACCCACACATAAAATAACCACATCCAACACACAACTCCTCCTAGACAGAACTCTCCATACAAGCTTAACGTTATCAATGACAAAAAAACCCTCTAATTACATCCTGTTTAAACCCAGTACAAATTAAAGATTGTCTGCTGAAGCTGTAGTTAGGATATTTTCTATATATCGTCTTCATTTACTACATACTAGCATGTATCTCGCGTTGTGAATGGTCAGTGTATCGCTTCATGATATTAGATCTATATATTACACTTCAAGCGCTGCACATGGGAAATATTGCTCCAGTTGTTACGTTACGCGATCAATATGACTCCCCCCCCCTCCCTCACCCCCACTCTACTCACCCTATATAATTCAAACTGTTGTACTGATATTGAACACATTCTTAAATTAAAATATTCCCACGGGTTAATTATGAAACGAGGTCGCTGACTTCTACTATAGGCTTATTTTGAAAACACACGTACAAAAACAAACACATTTTCTTGTTAAATGTTTTATTAATTCATCAAAGAATATCAGAGTCAATTTTCACATACGTAACGCCCCTTGTAGCGTCCTAAACTAAGACGCTACCATTCATTAATAGTGGAGTAGAGTCTACTACACGTCGATTGTTTCCACTTCCTGTTTCTACTACGCCCATTGCAGTGTCGTGTCGTTGATCCGTTTCTAAGGGTATTCACCGGCCGGCGTCGTGACCTTTGACCGTTGCGCTACTGAGAACTTGTAGGTCACGTTCTGACGTCGGCCTGCATTTTGGATTAACGATTTTTACAAGACTACCGTATTTCCTTAAATAGACGATACATATTTAAAAAAAAAAAAAAAAATAACAAAAAAAAAAAAAAAAAAACGAGCAGCCAAATTTTTTGTTTTAGACTTTAGCAAACTTTTTTTTTTTTTTTTTAATCTTTTGTCACAAGATATCTCAGACAAAACGGCTCAAATGTAGAAAAAAAAAAAATAATTAAAAAAAGAAGAAAAAACGAAAATTAAAGACAGAATTTCTCAGATTAAATTTTCAAAGACAAAATTCCTCAAAGCAAAATTTCACAGTGCTTTGATTTAAATCTAATACGCTTTTTTAATCAACAAAATAAACGAAGATATGTTTATTTTCATTAAATAAAAAAACAACAACCGTGCAATCGTAAAGCAGCAGTACCCATGCAACCCCCCCCCCCCCCCACTACACTTAACGATTGTATTGTTCTAAATACGGGCTGTATTACACCGCATTCCAACAAAGACTCTTTATATCTGCTTGCTGTGTTGTGACCTATTTGAACAAAACGTTCTTCTATTCACCTAAGTTCTAGCTGTTTTAACGTATGTATCGTAATGGCAACTACCTCGGCGACTGAGACCTTTGATTTGATGTCTTTGTCTCTTTGTCTGAGAGACGTGGATGGCAATCAACCGCTAATTATAAAGACAATGGCGTTTTTAGTGCTGACGTCAAACAGACGGTTAATAATTGCAGGATACAATATGAGAGGGGGGGGGGGGGGGGTGTGTGAAAAGCACTCCAATTACGGCAGTAATTAATTTTTTAAATCGCCACATTTGTCAAGATCTAGGTGACGTCCGTAATGCTTGATATTAATAATAGACCTTGCCCGAGTTGTACATTGAAGCAGTTTTGTTATCCGTCTCTTACAATTGAAATCTTGTGTAGTTCTATTGTGTAGTTGTATTATCAAAACACTTATAACTAAACTGCTGTGTAGTTGTGTAATCTAAAACACTTTTAACGAATGTTCTGTGTATTTGTGTATATATATATATATATATATATATATATATATATATATATATATATATATATATATATATATATATATATATATATATATATATATATACACACATTATAGTATAGTATATTTTGAACTTTATTCTTCACTGGGAGTTACTGAACTTTCATCAATATGTAGTTGTATAATTAAAATTTTTTTTTTAATTTTTTTTTTTGTATAGTTTAAAACATTTGATTCTTGAAAATGCATTATTATAGCACTATTACCCAAGACCTGTATAGCTGTATAATCTAAACACTTTTAACAAAAACTCCTGTGTAATTGTATAATTTAAACTCTTTTAACTAAACTCCTGTGTAGTTCTACTTTCTAAACTCTTTAATTTGAACTCATGTTTAGTTGTAAAATCTGAACACTTTTATACTTTTAATTAAACTCCTTTGTAAATGTATCATCAATATCATTCAAATTGAATTATCTTTTTTATTTGTTTCAGCCGAGCTTACCGCCCCTTGCTTCTCTTGTCAAAGACGGCGCTATGCAGTGGAGGTTGGCGTCAAGGTATTGTTGTCATGTCTCCATTATGTCTTTCTATAGACATCGTGCACTCGGTGCATTATTTATACTGTGTAAGATGTGTGCTGATTATAGGCTCGCTGTTTAGCTACTGTGTACTGTGTAGCTTGTGTGTATTGTGTAACTAATATGTACTGTGTAGCCTATATCCTCACATATGACGAGTGTGAAGTAATTCAATATGGTGTGTGGGGGCGGGGAAGGTTTCGTCACTTGTCCACGCATTACGTGACTAGCGGTGACATGTCACTCCTACACCATGACCTGACAGCTAGTGACAGAAACCTTAGGACCAAAGGCACCACTGGTCATTAGGTGACCAGCCACCACTGGTCAGGTCACCAGTGTTTAAGTCACCAGTTTGATTAGGTGACCCTTGGTCAGGTGACCAGCCACCACTGGTCAAGTCACCTTTTCAAGTCACCAGTTTGATTAGGTGACCCTTGGACTAGTGACCAGTCACCACTGGTCAAGTCACCTTTTCAAGTCACCAGTTTGATTAGGTGACCCTTGAACCCAATGATATTCACCCGTGGTGAACTGGAGTGTGGTTGAACCTATATAACGACATATTAAAACCGACTTGTACGCTGTTCTATTTTTTAAAAATCAATAAGTCATAGAATCAATAATTCCTGGAATCAATAATTCCTGGAAGCGCAAGTTTGGGGAGTGGTTCACAAGTAACACAAAACTTAGCTCTATTTTAACTTGGGTTGTTCCACAAGGGAGTTACACTTTATCACACTGACATTTATACATCCCCAACACACCCCACCCCTTTCCCACCCAGTGCAGTAAAAAAACAAAACAACCCTGTACAGTTCCTTACTGCGATCGTTCCACATAAATGGCGGCGGTGCTAATGCATGTCAAGCTAACCGAGGTGAAACTGTCTGCTAGTCGCTGGAGCGTGGAATCTACTGTCACGGACATGGCTCTATACTACATTCTCACCTGTCTGAAAGGTGTTAGGAATAATTTCAAGTGTTACAGAAACCTGTTTAGAGCCTTTAAGGCATGAGTTGAGCTTTGAATTATCTACCGTTTGCTGCATGTCATTTGTGACGTAATTTGGGAGATGTATTTTGTGATGTCATTTGGGACATCATGTCATTTATGACACTACATTACCTGTCAGTTAGTACCTCCAAACATGCCGTGTATTACCAGTCATTTGTAACCTCCCATTTATGACCTTTCATCGGTAACTAGTGACCAACCGTTTGTGACTTTTCATTTGTGACGTAACATTTGTAACGAGTCATTTATGACCTCTCATTTTTCACGTGTTATTTGTAACCTGTCGCTGATTACAAGATCAGGTCATCGTAGTGTAACCACACTAAATAACCAATGACCATGTTACCCAATCAACCCCTGGTGTAACTTCACTAATTACCAATGACCACGTTACCCAATCAACCCCTGGTGTAACCACACTAATTACCAATGACCACGTTACCCAATCAACCCCTGGTGTAACCACACTAATTACCAATGACCACGTTACCCAATCAACCCCTGGTGTAACCACACTAATTACCAATGATCACGTTACCCAATCAACCCCTGGTGTAACCACACTAATTACCAATGACCACGTTACCTAATCAAGTCCAACCACACTAATTACCAACGACCACGGTACCCAATCAACCCCTGGTGTAACCACACTAATTAACCAATGACAACCACGTTACCCAATCAACCCCTGGTGTAACTTCACTAATTACCAATGATCACGTTACCCAATCAACCCCTGGTGTAACTTCACTAATTACCAATGACCACGTTACCCAATCAACCCCTGGTGTAACCACACTAATTACCAATGACCACGTTACCCATTCAAGTCCAACCACACTCTACAGATAAACCAATCTAGACTCTGGTTCACTGGGTCAGTGATGCATTTTTTTTTATTACAGCGGCCTTCAGAGATATCATCAAACTAGATCGCCATTAAACCTACTACACTGATACATTATGTGTAAAGATAAAAAAAAGGAGAAATTGTGTACGCTCAAGCAAGACCCTCCCCGTCTTACCCCACCCTAAGTCTTCCAGTCCCCGCCCCCTCATCTCCCATGTCTGTACGGTGCCCTGTCAAAACGGCCCGGGACAAATCGGCCCCGTCAAAACGGCCCCGTTAATACGACCCCGTCAAATCGACCCCCGACAAACCGACCCCGTCAAAATAGCCCCGTCAAAAGGGCCCCGACTTATTGGCTCCCGTCAAATGGGCTCCCGTCATATTGACTTGCGACATATAGGCTCCCGACAAATGGGCTCCCGATATTTAGGCTCCCGACAAATGGACTCCCGACATATTAACCCCTGACAAATAGGCTCAGGACATATTGGCTCCCGACAAAGCGGCTCCCGACATATTGGCTCCCGACATAAGGGCTCAAGACAAATGGGCTCCCGGCAAATGGGCTCACGACATTTTGGCTACCGACAAATGGGCTCCCGACATATTGGCTCCCGGCAATTGGGCTCCCGACATATTGGCTTTTGACAAAATGACTCCCGACATATTGGCTCCAGAAAAATGAATGATATGACCACTATTGGCATAAAAGTAAGCATTGTGTCCTACCTCCAATACCACCATAACCTCTTTTTAATGCCCGAATGAAATTATTTTTTCATGAACCAACATTAATTCACAAACAAATCGAGCCCTTAACAGCTAAATTCCACCAATTCTAAAGCTTTGATAATGTTTAATTTACAACAGAAAAGATCTGTTGCTTAAAAGCGAGCACAGAAGTGTAAATGTATGATATACATGATGTTTACATGATAACAGCATTTTGTTTTGATAACCTACAAGCACAGTGGCGTAGCTAGGTCGGGTGTCACCCGGTGCGGCACTTAATGGTGTCACCCCCCCCAGAGGCGTTGCGACCCTTCCCGGGGACAAACTTTCAAGTTTTCGATTTGCACCCCCCCCCCCCCAAACTTTCGATTTGCACCCCCACCCCCTCAACTTTTTCTCTATATATTTTGCTATATAGATAAACTAATATAAAAATAAGGCCTGCCGAACAAGAGATGCATACGTTGTATTACATAAGAGTGTTGGATAAGCTAACTCTAAAGAATATTGATGAAGGGGTCCCACTGGCAGATGTCATATTCAATGAGACCGCTTTGCCGGGAGACTTAGTCTCTACAGAAACCGTATTGTCAGTGCAGTGGCGTAGCTAGGATTTTTGGGCCCCTATGCAAAAATTATCAGTGGGCCCCTTCGTCAGCCGTTAGGCCAGTGGCGTCGCTAGGTCGGGTCTCACCCGGTGCGGCACTTCGTATTGTCACCCCCTCCCAGGAAACAAAGCATATATATATATATATATATATATATATATATATATATATATATATGTGTGTGTGTGTGTGTGTGTGTGTAGGCCTAAAATTTACTTATATGCCACATACTGGTACACGTACGTGTTTAAGCATTAATCACTGCTGACTTAATAGTAACGATGTTTATCTACAGTCTGTTTATAATACAGTTGGATGCTGCATTGTTTTCTTTATAGTTTACGTTTACGTCGTGGTGTCACCCCCCCCCCTCTTGATATAATTTTCGATTTGTACTTAGAAGACTATTTAACTTTAACTAATGGACCTGGAAAATGGCATTTCATTCTATAAATTTTACAATTTTTTGCCTTTGGTGTCACCCCCCCCCCTAAATGGTGTCACCCGTTGCGGTCCGCACCCCCCGCCTCGCCTACGCTACGCCTCTGCGTTAGGCTACAGAGGAGTTAAACGAAGAGATCAACTTCTACTTACGATGGATATTTTTTAATATATAAATATTCTGAAGGCAACATTTTGTATTTTATATGTCCTGATTTTGTATTTATACTATATTATTATGCTTGCCTACTACTGCTAAAAAGTTTATTTATAGGCTGATTCTCTCAATGTCTTGCACGACAAAGTGATATAGCCTGTAGTATTATTATAAGGATTGGGCTCTGTTTGACCCACAAACACTGAATCCCACTGCTGAAACGGTGGGGGGGGGGGGGGGGCTTTTTGGAACTTTTAACCTTTTTCTTTTTTAAAATTATTTATATGTAACAAATATTAAAATTCCATTGTAAAAGTTTTAATTTTTTATGAGGGAAAAGGGCCCCTATGTGCCTTGGGCCCCCATGCCTTGCTTACGCTAGCTTTACGGTAGCTACGCCACTGTGTCAGTGGTCCTTTTGTCTGGAGCCAAATTGACAGGAGCCTTTTTGTCGGGAGCCAAAATGACGCTAGCCCATTTGTCGGGAGTCGTAATGACGGGGGCCGTTTTGTGGAAAAAACTAAATGACGGGAGACTATATGTCGGGAGCCAAAATGACGGGAGCCTATTTGTCAGGAGCCTTATTGACTGGAGCCCTTTTGTCGGGAGCCTATATAACGGGAGCCTATTTGTCGGTAGCCTAAATGACGGGAGCCTATTTGTCTGGAGCCTATATGACGGGGTCCATATGTCGCTGGCCCTTTTGACGGGGCCGATTTGACGGGGTCGTTTTGACGGGGTCGTTTTGTCGGGGTCGTTTTGACGGGGCCGTTTCGTCATTGGCCGAATTGACGCCGCACGGTCTGTACATATAGTAAAAAAAAAAAAAAACCACTGTTTAAAAAAAGAAACTGTACGACAACACTTCCTTTGATACAAAAAAATAATTCGTGATCTAATACAGAATCTGTATCTGTTATTTAACTTGACGTTTGAGTAAAAAAAAAACCATCATAATTTCATCATCTATAAATGTATCAAATCTATAAATATAAAAAACCAAACAGCTATAATCTATAAACATACCAAATCCAACAGCCATAACCTATAAATGTACCAAATCCAACAGCCATAACCTATACATGTAGTCAAATCCAACAGTCAAAATCTATAAATGTACCAAATCCAACAGCCATAACCTATAAATGTAGTCAAATCCAACAGTCAAAATCTATAAATGTACCAAATCCAACAGCCATAACCTATAAATGTAGTCAAATCCAACAGTCAAAATCTATAAATGTACCAAATCCAACAGCCATAATATATAAATGTAGCCAAATCCAACAGTCAAAATCTATAAATGTACCAAATCCAACAGCCATAACCTATAAATGTAGTCAAATTCAACAGTCAAAATCTATAAATGTACCAAATCCAACGACCATTCCGTGAACAACTCCTACATTGTCTGGGCCTGCAAGACTATATAATTTATTACAGGTAGACTCTTATAAAGGTGTGGACATTTTTACTTGCGTGATGAATTACTTGCACACAGCCGGTTAACTTGTTGTTGTTGGTTAACGTGGTTACCACTATCTGCTTAAGGTAGAGGGTGGGATTTGGGCCGCAGAACCCCAGGATTAAATTCAGAATGAAGAAATCTAATTCAGTAATGGAACGCTGAAAGTAAGTTGTGATTTAGAGTGGGGCAATACGCCCCTAGCCCAGCCCCTCCCCTGCCTTTTTGGCGTGGTTGGGATTTTCTTATCTTGGTCTTTAGAGCAGTTGTCACCCCTCCCTGTGCAAATTGCTAGATTACAGTTGTCTACCTTTGTATAACTCCGTGTTAAGATAAGAGTTGTCTAACCTGGTATAACTCTATTTTTAGATAGTTGTCTATCGTTGTGTAAAATAAACCTTTCGCCAGTCTTGACTCCTTTATCGATTAATTATTTAAAGTCGATATCTGATTCACAACGTATCGGCTAGTTGCAAAACACTACCACCACAACACCACACCATCACACGATCTTACCACACAGAACCACATCGATGTACAACTATACCACCACACCAGTGTAAAATTAAGCACTACATTGCAACACCATCACATGAATAGGTACAACATTACCTAGCCAAATCACCACACCCTCACACAACCACACTCATGTATACATCACCAACCCCCCCCCCCCACACACACAACCACACTCATGTATACAGCACCAACACACCCCCACACAATCACACTCATGTATCCATCACCACCACACCCCCACACAACCACACTCATGTATCCATCACCACCACACCCTCACACAACCACACTCATGTATCCATCACCACCACACCCCCACACAACCACACTCATGTATCCATCACCACCACACCCCCACACAACCACACTCATGTATCCATCACCACCACACCCCCCACACAACCACACTCATGTATCCATCACCACCACACCCCCACACAACCACACTCATGTATCCATCACCCCCACACAACCACACTCATGTATCCATCACCACCACACCCCCACACAACCACACTCATGTATCCATCACCACCACACCCCCACACAACCACACTCATGTATCCATCACCACCACACCCCCACACAACCACACTCATGTATCCATCACCCCCACACAACCACACTCATGTATCCATCACCACCACACCCCCACACAACCACACTCATGTATCCATCACCACCACACCCCCACACAACCACACTCATGTATCCATCACCACCACACCCCCACACAACCACACTCATGTATCCATCACCACCACACCCCCACACAACCACTCTCATGTATCCATCACCACCACACCCCCACACAACCACACTCATGTATCCATCACCACCACACCCTCACACAACCACACTCATGTATCCATCACCACCACACCCCCACACAACCACACTCATGTATCCATCACCACCACACCCCCACACAACCACACTCATGTATCCATCACCACCACACCCCCACACAACCACACTCATGTATCCATCACCACCACACCCCCACACAACCACACTCATGTATACATCACCACCACACGGCCACAACCGACACGACCGTATCACCACATCCACACGTTCTAAAACACACGAGACATCCCCCCACGCCAACGCTGAAATCTATGCAACCATTCCTGTTACACAACAGAACAATTTAACTAAAAACGTGTAAAGTCAATTAATCTATTCAGGCATTAAAATATTACGAGGCACCTTTTGTGTGATTCTAAACATTAGATTATCGCTAATGTAAAACAAAAGAATGGTGCTTGTCCTCTTTTATGTGTGACCCGTGTCACTGCGGACCCGTGTTGTATTTGACCCGTGTCACTGCGGACCCGTGTTGTATTTGACCCGTGTTATGACAGACCCGTGTTATATTTGACCCGTGTTATGACAGACCCGTGTTATATTTGACCCGTGTTATGACAGACCCGTGTTGTTTTTGACCCGGACCATGACAGACCCGTGTTAGACCCGGACCATGACAGACCCGTGTTATATTTGACCCGTGTTATGACAGACCCGTGTTAGATCCGGACCATGACAGACCCCTTGTTATTCTTGACCCGTGTTATGGGTTATCCGTGCAATGGATGGCCTATACAAATTGCCCCATATGCTAGTTCTGACCCCTGGCTTGGCCAACCCGTACACTAATGTCCGCCCCCCCCCCCCCCAGCCTACAGACCAGAAAGAACATGTCTACTGTCGTGTACACCACCCGATATTGCCACCCCCGCCCCCCAACACATAAAGTCCCATACCACCTCATATTACTGAAGTAATGTTTGAGTTTACTTAAAGAAATTCACTGGGCAACCTTATCCCACGCCAAGCTTACACAATGTACACTGAACGTGTTTTTAACATGTGTGCAGTTTACAAAGGAAGTGGTTCATATCTCTTCATCATAATGTAGTTTTCAATTTTAAAAAGTGGGGTGTGTGGGTAGTGGAAGGGGGGGGGGGGGGGGGGGGGTAAGGGATGAACGAGACAACGCCTTTCCAAAATACATTGTCACCCAGTCCTCGCAGAGTCGCATATCGTTGGTTTGAGGGGAGGGGTGGGCAGATCTCGTCGCGTTGAGCTTAAGACTAGTGTAGGGTGTTTTATAAGATAGTTTGTCTTTAGTTGCTAGAAGAGAGATTATATTTTACTATTTGATTATCCATCATTATCTTTTCCCATTTGCGCCCAAGACACATGGGGCTGATGAAGTAGAGTTTATATGTTTCAGAGACCTGTGCGTTTGAAGGGATAGTGTGTTCATCACTATTCCCAGCCGCCTTTGATTTCTCTAACGTGAGTTAGGTACTCAAGACTTTTCGGTTAGCAGTCTAGCTCTCTACAGCTAGGCCACCCCATCCCATATTTGATTGTTAGGTGCCTTTTATCTTAGATGAAAGAACTTTGATGCTTGAACTTAGCAATGCCCCAAAGACACCTAACCAAATCCTTTTCAACATGACTTCTCATTTCCCATCATATCCCAGAATGCAACTGACTTCCCATATACTATATTAAATTCCAAATGACCCCATATTCTATATCCCACTATCCCACTGACTTCATATTTCCTAGAATCTCACTATCCCATATCCTAGAATCTCACTCTCCAATATCAAAGAATCTCATGATACCATATCCTAGAGTCCCCACTGACACCCCATATCCCACTGCTCCCCATATCCCACTGACTCCCACTGACTCCCCATGACTCCCCATATCCCACTAACTCCCCATATCCCACTGACTCCCCATATCCCACTGACTCCCCAAATCCCATTGACTCCCCATATCCCACTGACTCCCCATATCCCACTGACTCCCACTGACTCCCCATATCCCACTGACTCCCACTGACTCTCCATGACTCCCCATATCCCACTAACTCCCCATATCCCACTGACTCCCCATATCCCATTGACTCCCCATATCCCATTGACTCCCCATATCCCACTGACTCCCCATATCCCACTGACTCCCCATATCCCACTGACTCCCCATATCCCACTCTCCCCATATCCCACTGACTCCCCATATCCCTCTGACTCCCCATATCCCACTGACTCCCCATATCCCACTGACTCCCACTGACTCCCTATATCCCACTGACTCCCACTGACTCCCCAAATCCCTCTGACTCCCCATATCCCACTGACTCCCTCTGACTCCCCATATCCCACTGACTCCCCATATCCCACTGACTCCCACTGACTCCCCATATCCCACTAACTCCCACTGACTTCCATATCCCACTGACTCCCACTGACTCCCCATATCCCACTGACTCCCACTGACTCCCCATATCCCACTGACTCCCCAATATCCCACTGACTCCCCAAATCCCACTGACTCCCCAAATCCCACTGACTCCCCAAATCCCACTGATTCCACTGACTCCCCATATCCCACTGACTCCCACTGACTCCCCATATGCCACTGCCTCCCACTGACTCCCCATATCCCACTGACTCCCACTGACTCCCCATATCCCACTGACTCCCCATATCCCACTGACTCCCACTGACTCCCCATATCCTATATTCCAGAAATCCACCAAGCTCAGGAAGATGCTGCTGTCCCCAGAGCTTGAGTTCATCATGGAGGCCCACAGTGGCATCAGTGCTTGCATCGCTGAGGAGGCAGGTAAGGACAGGTCCGACGTGGGGGACTGGGAAAGACAGGTATGGGAGAGGAATGGACAGGTGGGGTTAGAGGGGGTGGCAGGTGGGGGGGGGAGAGGGGTACAGGTGGGAGAGAGGGGGGAGAGGTGGGGGAGTGGGGGGAGAGGGGGGGACAGGTGGGGGAGTGGCACGGACAGGTGGGGGAGGGAGGGGGTGAACAAGTTGGTTCCTGGGAGGGGGATTACAGGTACAGTGCCTGGGGAAGGGGGGGAGGGGGGACAAGTGGGTACCTGGGAGGGGGGATGACAGGTACAGCACCTGGGGGGGTTGGAGTCTTTGAGATGGACAAGAAATAATGTGGCTGTAGATGGTAGTGTTGGTACCTTGGCAGTGGCATAGGTTAGATTTTGTAATGGTAAGTGGGGGAGGGGGGTGTCTACATGTGTTTTATCTGTCTCTTTATATCTATACTTGCACATGCACATACTCATATATATATATATATATATATATATATATAATCTATAATGTTTTTGAGAATATAAAGCAATGGTTGAATGGTATTGATTAATTTGAAACAGAAGGCAATAAAATCTACATGTGCATAATATTAGTTACAATATAGCTATAACAAAATTGTAAGACAGCTGTCATATGGGGTGGGGCAGTAAGGGGGATCTTTTCTCCACCAGTCCCCCCCACCCACAACCACTGGAGACAGGAATCTGTCTTTGAAGGACAAGAAATTCATACTGCTGTCCTAGTTGACCTGTTGAAAAAATTAATGTAAGCTGTAAGGAATTACGACAGTGAAAATAATGAGCGACGCCATCATCTGCCAGGGTTCCAGGGCATCTGGGCCAGCGGCCTGTCCATGGCCACCCAACTGGGAGTCCGAGACAGCAACGAGGCATCGTGGACGCAGGTGCTGGAGGTGCTGGAGTTCATGAATGACGCCTGCACTGTGCCCATCCTGGTTGACGCAGACACGGGTTACGGGAACTTTAACAACGCCAGGAGATTGGTCAGAAAGCTGGAGGACAGAGGGATCGCTGGTAATTACATTTTAATTAATTTTTATCTTTTAAATTAATTATTTATTTCAAATTAAGAATTTGCTTTTGAAATTATTTTATACTTTAAATTTGATAAATTTGATAGTTGGTAGTTACATTTTAATTAATTTTTATCTTTTAAATTAATTATTCATTTCAAATTAAGTATTTACTGAAATAATTTTTACTTTAAATTAATTATTAACCTTTGATAAATTTGTTAGTTGGTAATTGTATTTTAATAAGTTTTTGATCTTTTAACATAATTAATAATTTTAAATATAGCATTAACTTTTGATATTATATTATATTTAAATTAATTATTAACCTTTGATGAATTCGACTGCTGGTGTTTACATTTTAACTAATTTTTATCTTTAAAAATTCAAGTATTTATTAACTTTTAAATTACCGTTAACTTTTGCTACTGCATTATCTTTAAATTAATTATTAACTTTTGGTAAAAAATTAGTGAATAGCTTTAAATAAACCATTAGTGTCAGCTAATTGTTATATTTTAACAAATGACAACATAGAAGCTCTAAGATAGCTTTAACTAGACCATCAGGACAAGTCATGACTGATTACATACCTGCTAATTACCCCATAATTAAGTCTGTCAGTGAAGAACTGTGACACAGCTTTGCCTGGTGCTAAGACTTAAGAATGCAGGTGCTAACGAGTGGCTGATTGATGGCTGCAATTAATTAAAAATGTTTCAACTCCTCACAAATCACGTCTTGAGTTCTAGTTTTGACCTACTATGCTATAGATGAAGTAGAGTTCATGTGTTTGTGTGGGCATGGTCTTGGTTAGAATATCTGGCCAGACAAATTCTCTTGCTTTTAAGTTACACTCATGCCAGGTACCCAAATGAGCTGGGTCGGCTCATGAATGGCTTGATGACAGTCCAATTCCATGCTTTAACAAATAGTTTTAAATAAAGCAAACCTTTAAGTAAAAAAATAAAGTTCCCTTTCATACCTGGTGGCCCAAGGAGCAGGTAAAGTAGAGTTCACCTGTTTCTGTGACCTCGGCATATGAAGGGATAGTGTGGTTACCTTATTCCCAGTCAAGCATCCATTAGAATTGGTTGTAGCAAGCCATTAGCCTACTTATTCAAAATTATCTTTTTTAACTGTATAGTGTTGTATAGTCCAGATCTTTCCAAACATTTCTGAGCTAAGTGTTAGCTTGCTAATCTGTGTGAGCTTTCTGAGTTAAATTTTAACTCACTGAGCTAACAATTAGCTCAATGAGTCAAGTGTTAACTTGATGATCTGTGTGACCTTGGTCAGCTGAATGCTAACTCACTGAGCTTAGTCTTAACTTGCTGAGCTAAAAGTCAGCTTTCTGAGCTAAATACTAACTTGCTGAGTTAAGATTGAGCTCACTGAGGTTAATGGTAACACACAACTTACAATCTACTTACTGAGCTAAGCCTGAGCTCAATGAGTTGAGCTATAAGTTGGTACCGAGCCCCAAAGAAATCTAACAACCCTTTTGTTTTGCTGGTGCAGGTGCCGCAGTTGAAGACAAACTCTTCCCCAAAACCAACTCTCTTCTAGATGGGCGGGCCCAGCCTTTAGCTGACATCAAAGAATTTGCTCTCAAAATTCAGGTAAAAACTGTCTTAACATACATAAACTATCTCATAAAATTCAGATTAAAACTGTCTTAACATACATAAACTATCTCTCAAAATTCAGGTAAAAATGATCCTAACATGCATAAACTATCTATGAAAATTCAAGTAAAAACTGTCTAATCATGCATAAACTATCTCTTAAAATTCCGGTCTATTGAAATAGTTTAAATCTGCCAACCAAACACTACAAAATCAAACACCACCACCCTATAACATCAAACACCACCACCCTACAACATCAAACACCACCACCCTACAACATCAAACACTACCACCCTACATTATCAAACACTACCACCCTACAACATCCAACACTAACACCCTACAACATCAAATACCACCACCCTACAACATCAAATACCACCACCCTACAACATCAAACACCACCACCCTACAACATTAAACACTAACACCCTACAACATCAAACACCACCACCCTACAACATCAAACACCACCACCCTACAACATCAAATACCACCACCCTACAACATCAAACACCACCACCCTACAACATCAAACACTACCACCCTACAACATCCAACACCACCACCCTACAACATCAAACACCACCACCCTACAACATCCAACACCACCACCCTACAACATCAAACACCACCACCCTACAACATCAAACACCACCACCCTACAACATCAAACACCACCACCCTACAACATCAAACACTACCACCCTACATTATCAAACACTACCACCCTACAACATCCAACACTAACACCCTACAACATCAAATACCACCACCCTACAACATCAAATACCACCACCCTACAACATCAAACAATACAACATCATTAGGTTTGTTTGGTTAGAGGATTAGAAAACACTATGTAGTGGTAGTAGTTAAATAAACAAATTATTATAAAAATAAATTAATATCCATTTAATTTTTTATTTATTTTTAGTATATAATTAAAACAGGTTAAAGACATTAAAAAACCCACTCATGTTAATTAATATTCTATTACAGTCAATGAACTTTTGATCCTATATTTATGTTAATTTATATTTTATTGTAGTCAATAAATTTTTGATCCTATATTTATGTTAATTTATATTTTATTGTTGTCTATAAACATTTGATCCTGTGTTTATTTAATTTATGTTTTATTGAAGTCAATAAACGTTTGATCCCTTGTTGACAGGCCATGAAGGACGCCCAAAGAGATCCTGACTTTAACATTGTGGCCAGGGTGGAGGCATTGATTGCTGGCTGGGGAGTGGATGAGGCCCTCAAGCGAGCCGACGCCTACCTGGCCGCCGGGGCCACAGCCATCCTCATGCACAGCAAGCTGAAGGAGCCCAAGGAAATTGATGAGTTTCTTAAAGCTTGGCAGAACAAGGTCAGACTGGACTGTTGTTACCTCCCTTTAAAACAGTTAAAGACATGGGCTGTTGTTACCTCCCTTTAATACAGTTAAAGACATGGGCTGTTGTTACCTCCCTTTAATACAGTTAAAGACATGGACTGTTGTTACCTCCCTTTAATAAAGTTAAAGACATGCACTGTTTTACCTCCCTCTAATAGAGTTATCTGCACATAAAAGGTCAATCTTTAAATAAATTCAGACTGGACTGTTGTTACCTCCCTTCAATATTTCTACCTCCCTCAAATAAAGTTAAAAACATGCACTGATTTCATCATCATCTTTTCCTGTTCGTCCCAAGACACTTGGGGCAGATGAAGTAGAGTTCATATGGTTCAAAGCGACCTCTGCAAATGAAGGGATAGTGTGGTCAGCACTATGCTCAGCAACCTTTCTTCCCTAACAGGGTGGGCTAAAGGGATATTCTACTTAGTTTCACTTCCCTCTAATAAAGTTATTTGCATGTGAAAAGCCAATTTTCATATTAATTCAAAGTTTAAAATAAAAATTTGTAAATAAATCATTTATGCTTTAAAATAAATAATAAATTTCTTGGTATTGTGTCATCAGCTGACTACCAAATGCCACAATTTCTAGGTATAAACAGGCATAAATTATAGTGAATTGTACAAATGTTTCTTACATAAAACAGGCAACAGTCCCTTATTTCATCACATAGATATTCTTTATACTTGTTTGATTTCATTATTATTATACATTATTTCTTGAATTTGTCATACTAAATTTTGATTTAAATCCACAGAGCACCGAAGGTTTTACAGTATATCCCTTTATCTTAGCAACAATTTCCTTCTACAATAGATCAGCTCTGAACCAGTTTCATTGCACTAATGTTGACCATGGTATCCACAGGGCCCCATAGTCATTGTGCCAACAACATACTACAAGACACCTATGCAGCATTGGAGAGAGCAGAAGGTTTCCATGGTGATATGGGCAAACCACTCTGTCAGGGCTTCAGTCAAAGCCATGCAAGATTTAACTGCCCAGATTTTTAAAGAGCAGAGCACTGTTGGTGTGGAAAATAAGGTCAGTTGGATTGGATGGTTTAATTAATTACATTAAATAGATTTATGTCAATTAAATTTGGCTGGGTTAAGTAAGAAATAAAGTATTTAACAGTGTGTTGTATAGTGTTTTGAATTGAATAAAAGCGAGTCTCAACATATTCAACATATGCTGATTGCCCACTAATTTAGTGACCACAGTTATACCTTGCCATAAAATAAATATCTCTCCCAGTGATGCAAATATCTAATCAATCTCTGCCTACAACGTAATGACTCAACCAACCCTATCCTACCAATCCCTCACAACATAATAAATATCTAATCAATCCCTTCCAAGGTAATGAATATTTAACCTATCCATCACAACATAAAAAATATCTAACCAATCTCCACATTTTTTCCCCAGATTGCAACAGTGAAAGAACTGTTCCGATTAACTAAAGACGATGAGCTGAAATTGGCAGAGGATAAATATTTACCTCAAAACTAGATGACTAACTTCTTAGAGATCTTTTCTATTTCATCCAACTTCACAAAAAACAATGAGAATGAATAATTTAAACATTGGAAAAAAATATTTTTGAGAGAAAAATATTGGTCAAAAAACACTTTGATAATAAAAACGGAAATTTTTTTTTTGCATATTTTATAAATAGATCCTTGTGGAAGAAAATGCTTTGTGGTATTTTTATAATAACTTTTGTTAATTTATATCCTGTTTTGACATTTGCTCACTAAAGTTTAATTTATTTACTTCCTCCACATACAATGCAAGTTTCAATAACCAGACCAAAACCAATCAATGAAGTTTTTGCCTTGAAATATGTGTATAATCTATGATTGTACTTACAGGGCATATATATGTGTGTATGTATTTAAATATATATATATATATATATATATATATATATATATATATATATATATATATTTTTATATATATATATATATATATATATATATATATATATATATATATATATATATATATATATAAGCACAGATATAAAATACATATATGTGTGTATGCAAATACATATATATTTTACATTCTATTTATTATCTGCATAATGTTCTTATAAATAAGTTGAATTCCTAAAAGTTTTTGCTGCAATAATTATGTAATCATTAGAGATAAAAATATTAGTGTAATGTACTTAAGATGTAAAATAGTTATACTTGGGATTAGACTAAATGTTTTTAAAGATTTAATTAGTTATAAATTTTCTTTGTGTTCCTAGCGTAAAATATTATTTATACAATACATACTTTTTTAATTTTTAAAAGAATTTACAGTGTGTTAAAAAATACATATCATTTTTTAAAATTATATTTAAATTCTTTACGAATTTAGGCTACCTTCTTTAAATATAATATAAATAAATGTTTTAATTTATTAACTTGAGCTAATGGTAATGTTAAATTATCCCGTACAATTATTATAACCTTTAACCTGTGAAATCGAATACTTCCTTGGTCAAAGTACATGTATGTCATCATGCTCTCAGGTGAGAACACCGTGTCTGACCTACACAGGTGACAAATATCCCCGTATCAAAAGTGACAGCTTGACCCTGTACGTAGCTCCTTGACTGAAAGTTTTGACAATTACGTGCACGCGGTCTCACATCAACTACTGACACTTAAACATAAAATCAATACTTCGCACGTCTGGACATTAAACCAAAAACAAAAATCTAATCTATGCAATGTTAGAGAAAGGAGTTGGAGTTTTTTTTATAATTAGCATGTTGAAGTTTTACAAAATAAAGTTTGCAAATAGAAAAAATAAAATCAGTTTTTGATCAAATCATGACTCTCAAAGCAAGAACAATAACCATATGTGAACAAAGTTACATTTTTAATTTTCATCCTTTTTATTTAGCTTTTTACCCATGGGCCTATCAGTTATGGTTTTAACAATTTGAATAATAGTTTAACAGTATATAGGAGTAAATATGTATTTATATTTACCTATATTGTGGGAGTTACTGTAAAATATAATTTTCAGCTTATTTTATTTTTTTTTTTTTTTTTGCTGTCATGTGTAACATATAGCAAAATTTAAAATTCTTAGAAAAAACTTCAAATTTTTACAAATTTGGCCACATATTTTTCTAAACGCCTGGTCAAGTTTAAAACACAATGACAGAAAAAGAATTCGTTAATTTATTCACAATACATGTTGTAAATATCAATATTTATATTAATATTTGCATGCATATCAATGGTGTCAACTTGTATCGATTCATTGAATCATTTATTACATTGTGTACATGTGATTCAAATTTTTAAACTACCTTAGATGTTTTTACATTCCCCCTTTTATTTACAAATTTTTAACTGGACATCAGTAAAATTTTTTAGCTATTATTTCACTGATCCAAACAGCATTACAATGGCATAATTTATATTTGAAAATTTCCTAAATACAAATTTATAGTAGAAATGAAGTAGTTTAAGGCTGGGGGTGTGATGGTGGAGTGGAGCAGTGGTGGTATAAGGGTGGTGTAGCGATAGAGCAGTAAGATTGTGACCTCTGGTAAATGGACTAAAACCTCTGATGCCCAGTGGCCTTCTATATTCTTTGTGGCAGAGGATCTTTAGTTTATCTAGCGGAGTCCTGAACTGTTCAGGTCCTAACTTCCCCCCTGCCTGTCACTGTTACATGCAGTATCAACACTACAAGACTTCCTTCAATTTAAATTTCACAAAATCATTCACCAAATCATCACATTTCATTTTTGGTTCATCTATTATCTCTTACCGCGTTTTATAATTTGTTGCATTGCAATACACCTGGTTCAAATGACCTGCATCTGAGTGCAGATTTAAGTGGGTTTACAGTAAAATATTTACATCCTAGTTGCCTCCCATCTTGATGTGAAAACTCTTAATGTATCCTCCCCTTTTTTTAAGTGTCGGCCAAATGTCTCAAAAGCTTTTTATTTTTGGGTTGGGTGAATTTCTTGTCCTGTGAAACAATTAAAGGAGTGAGAAAGGGGGGGTGGGGGATTTTTAACATAACTGCTTGCTCCCTTTTGATACACATTTGGCTTACTGCATATAAAATGTTACTGTAGGCTAGTGTACAATTTACACATATTAATTGTTCATGTGTATTTGGTGAAGTGATTTACTTTTGTGAAAATGGTTTTCTTGAAATTGACTTGCCATCAAGTTGTTTATTAAAAATCTACAGAGAAGTAGAAAATAATTTTTTTAATGGTGAAAATATTTTCTTTTTATAAATTTTTTTTTTTTTAAAACCATGTCAATTTTTTTAACTTGATAAAAATGTCAGTTTTCTACCAGTCATAATTTGACCTTAATTCATAACATATTCCCACTTAACAATTTGAACTGAATTTCATAATTTTGACCTTCAGCCTTGACACATGACCTTCATCTTTCTAACTGTTACTCAATACCTTATGTGCTGCATTTATTGATTGTATTTTCTACTTACTAGTTTATTAGTGCTTAATTACTTTCTTTTAACTTGAGGAGAATAATTTAAAAACTAACTATTGATTTTTGTTATAGCCCTTTATGTTGAGTGAAATAGAAAACTTACTCATTTAAAACTAATTACTTCGGCCATACTAAATTTATATTTTCACACAGGCAATAAATAAAAACAAATAATTTTAATTACCTACAATAATAAAGGTTTTAAAATTGTATGTCATATGTAGAAAAAATGTCATTAAAATGCCATGTCATTCAGATGCCGTGACATGAATTCACAATTGAAGTAAAATGTCACACTTAAGTCTTACACTACGGTGATGTAATCTGGCGTTGATGTGATGTTCCATTACATTGATGTAATATGACATTGGTATGATGTTCCATTACATTGATGTTATATGACATTGATATGATGTCCCATAAATGTAATATTACATGATGTAATGTCACATAATACTTAATGTCACATCAGTGCTACATCTGTGTTATATGAATGCTGTCGAATGTCATGAAATGACACATTAGCTGTCAAATGTCATAAAATGATACATTAGCTTAGTGTTCACACTTGACCAAGTTTGTTCATTTTTTTTCTTTACAGTGGGATATGTCTGTGATACCTGTTTATTTCAAGGTGTTTTTTTTTAAACTGCTTCATTCTACCCTGCACATCTTAGTTCTTTTTTAAGCCAATTTTAATTTTTTTTTTCTTCTTTATTAAGTGGCAGATATGGCTCAAAAAAAAAAGAGAGAACTTAAAAAAATAAAAGGCAACTGCTTTTAAGTATCAGATTGTGTTTGGTGTATTTTGTTTTGATGCCAGTGTGAATGCTCATCTCACATTTTCCATGGTTTTTCACGCCCTTATCCTGGGATCTAAAATTGATCGACAAGTACTATAGCTTTTTAACCACAATCAGTATTACTGTTAAACAGCACAATTCCCTAAAGTTTCAAATGTTATGAACCATCTTCTTCGTTCTAAATTTTTAGTGTTGGAAGGGATCGTGCCTTATTTGCCAGAGGGTTTGAACTCGATATTTTTAAAAATTTATCAACCATGAGATTTGCTGACTCGACCACGCCTCCAACACAATTAAGGATACGTGTCAACTGGTTATGCGCCATTGGGGTCTTTGACTCCGATTTCAGCTTGTTATGAACCATAATTTTATGTTCTTGAAATCATAACAAATAAATATGGGTCTAGAGTCTAGGACATGGGTTGGTCAACATTTTACCCATCTGCCTTCACTTTCACAAACCTAAGTCAGACACCCATCAGAGCTGGGTGGATTCAGTAGCACTCTACTGACAAACATAACGTTAATAAATTGTAATTTCTCTAAGCATTCTATCTGTATCTTTAACCCAAAGGAAATATCCATCAGTTGGAGGGGAAGGGGATTATTTATCTGGGGGAAGGGGGTAATGACATGTAAACTGGCGTGGGGTCAGCGTGGTCAAGATGGTAAAGCTCATGGCTGCTAAACAAAAAAATTTCGAGTTCGAACCGTCTGGCAGATGAGGCTTGACAGCAACTTCTAGGAGACAACTCCAAAATCAAACAACTGCTGCGTTGTAGTTTGTTTTTGGCTGGACAAAGGCTATGGAAGCAAATCCAAAAAGAAAAGCAAGCTGAACTCAGAGTCAACTGCCTATATTGAGCAGCATAACCAGTTGACATGTAAGGCTTGTGTTGGAGGGAATCTCTTCCAACACTAGAATTAAGAATGAAAAAGAAGTTAAATGGCCTTGTATACATACACACCATCACCAGCCAGTTAGTTTATCATTTACAGAAAAAGAAACAAACAAACCAGAAACATTTTTTTTTGTAAATAAATAAGTTTTTAATTTTTAATTCTTGTAAACTTGGTCCTTAATAAATACGCATGTTAAAATTAGATACTTTTGTATAAATATTATATCAAACAATTTCAATCAACAATTGATTTTTAACCAACCTTTCCATTCATTCATTTCTAATAAGTACAAAATTATGGAATCTAACTTTTACATCAGATTAATTGCAAAATAATTTTTTTTAAACTTTCTTAGTAGATACCCTTAACACAAAATGAGGATTCTAGAACTAGAAGTTGAAATAATAATTTTTTAATTTATTTTATTGTATAAAATTTATTTAGCAATTTAGCAAAATCCAAATTATATTTCAATCAAAATTATTAATTTACAAAGTACAATACTTATTCTACTGGTCTTTATACTGAACATGTTTCCGATACTAAAATAAAATATCTGAGTTTGAGATTACAGTAGAGAAGATGTATAAAAACTGTACATGGTTCATTTTACCCATAGGATAGCTAGGCATCAGTCTTTCAATAGAAGGGAAGTCACTCTAGCCAAATGAAAGCTACACTTTATCACAAAGTTGAGATTAACATTCAGCAACACATTTATAATCAAAAACATTTCTTTACCACTGCCATTAATTCAGTTTAATTTAATCAGGCAGTAGCTTTTGTCTGTAATCAACACAACAAAAACCAACTCAACTCAATGTCTAACTTCAGGAATTTTTTTCTGCTTCAGAAGAAAAAAAACCCAGAATTTGTTTGAATCAGAATCCAGATAAGATTAGAGCACAACTTTATAAAAGATATGGAGGGACAGACACACTTTAAAACTACATGACTTGATATTCTGGCTTAATTATTTTTAGCAATTTACTTCAAATAGTAAAGGTTTAAAATTTTACTTTAAACCTGGCAAAATTTATCTGACAATGCCCTAGATGAGCAGAAGTGAAAAATGGACCTCTGTTTGCCCAACTTTGCCCTTGAGTATGGGGCTACACTAAACAATCATCATGAAAACATCAGAAAATTTATTTCAACAGTTTGGTCTTAAAAAATTTCATCAAAATATTTTTATTTAAGTGATAAAAACAAACATGACAACAAATGGCTATGTTCTGTAAAAAAAATGAAGCAACAAATAAAATAGAAACATTTCTCCACAGAGATTTAGTTTTGTTTTATAAATGGTCAATAACATGGTCCATACTGGTAAGATTTAAATACATTTCTCTCATACCCACTTCATCAGCTAAAAAAAAAACAGCTATTATCTCTTATAAACATCAACATTTACAAAACATTAGTTAATTCTTTTATACACCATCATAAGCTAACAAAACAACTATTGTGTAAATAAAACAAAATATTAAAAAAAAATATCTTGAGCTTCTAAGTGTTTTACTAGCAACAGTAAAAAAAAAGTTTTACACTATAAACCATGTACATACAATATTTTCTGGCAAGTTTTGCTCTCAGAAGTTTTTATTTTACATTGCATTAGTAAGGCCAGTTATAAAATAGCTGCATCCATGCCAGGATTTATGAAACCAATCTAATCTAACACGCCAGCTTGCATTTTGACAAAATAAAATGGAACGTTAAATATCTACAAATTTGATGTTTTTAAGTAGATCAACAGAAAACATTTCAAATAAATTATTTGGCAACAAAGATGTATTTCCAACCCAAGGGATCATTTTGATGTTTAATGTTCAAATTTGATGTTTAATCACAGACCATTTTGATGTTAAAATGAAAGGTCAATTTGATGTTTAATCTTAGATCAAATTTGATGTTTTAATCACAGACCATGTTGATGTTGAATAAAAGATCAATTTGATGGTTCATCAAAATATAAATTGATAATTAATTATTGACCAAAATTGTTGTTAACCAAAAGATCAACTTGTTGAAACTGGCATGAAATCAAAGCTCAAGTTGATGTGTTTGTCTTGACAAACAGAAGTCATTTGAAATAATTTTTTCTAACATTACACTGAGCAAGGCCAGAAAATCTAATGTAACACTTCAAGTCTTAATGTTGCTCTAATACCTAATACATGTGCCAGTGTTGTGCAACAAATTCCTGAAACATGTGCCCACCAGCGTTCACCCTACAGCTGTTCCAACCTTTTCAGTGAACGGCGCAGTCTTCTCCTTGAGGAACTCAGTCCTCTCTCATGTCCCGGACTCAGCAGGACAGGAGGACTCAAATCACCGCCATTACACACAGGGGTCAGCTTGTCCTGTCCAGGACTCAGCAGGACATCAGGACCTGTTTTACCGTTACAAAGTCCAGTCTGGTTTACTCCGCTCTGGGCAACAGGGACCAAATTCAAATCTGTCTGACCATGGCCATCTTTGTTTGGAACATTTGTTGCGGGCACAAATCCCAGGCAAGAACAAGCTGCACCTGATGTTTGGTGGCAGTCGTGGTCCCACGCGGACAAGGTGATTGTTGGATTGGTTGAGTTCTGGTTTGAATCACCTTCAGCTTGAATCTCAAAGTTTGACCCCTGGCTGGTTGAAATGTCCAAGTTTGACCCCTGGCTTGCTGAGAGGTCAAAGTTTGACCCCTGGCTGGTTGAAAGGTCAAGGTTTGACACTTGGTTGGTTGAAAGGTCAAAGGTTGACCCTTTGCTTTTTGAAATATCCAAGTTTGACCCCTGGTTGGTTGAAAGGTCAAAGTTTGACCCCTGGCTTTTTGAAATATCCAAGTTTGACCCCTGGTTGGTTGATAGGTCAAAGTTTGACCCCTGGCTTTGTGAAATGTCCAAGTTTGACCCCTGGTTGGTCGAAAGGTCAAAGTTCGACTCCTGGCTAATTGAGAGGTCAAGATTTGACAGAAGGTTGGTTAAAAGGTCAAGATTTGACCCCTGGCTTTCAGGAAGGTTCATGTTTGTGCTTGTAGATTGGGGGCTGTCCGTGCGAGTCTGCAGCACAGGAACCAAGTGAGGCGGGGATGCGATGACAGCCCCATATTCCAGTTGCATGGTCTGATGGTTTCTGGTGGGGGAGGTGGTAGGTTGGCCTGTCTGGCAGGGATGTGCCGGAGCGTCACGCTTGACCGACAGGTCTGGAGAACACAAGTTGGGGGTGGAGGCGCCGTGGTCAGACGGACACACTGGAACATGCTGCTTCATCAAACTGTCTGTATGTTGAACAACTTCTGATCTGCTGGTAGGTGGAGGAGGTTCTGAAACTTTTGTTTCCAGAACAAGTTCTGAGACATTTGTTTCCGGGACAAGTTCTGATTTTGTACCAATGTCCGGCACATCCACAGAACAATCCGGGTAGGTACCTCTGGATTCGGAATTGCTGTGAAGGGCAGCGTAATCCAACACGCTGTCCCCAGAGGAGAGAGGTGAACTTTTGCACGAGGTGAATTCCTCGGGGGAGAGGCACGGAGACGAGGGGGACAAGGACGGGGAGATGGAGGAACAGGAGAAGTAGGCGTGGTCTTCACTGGTGCACACTGCAGTGGTGCTGGCTTCACCTGTACCATCATCCACCTCTAGGTGGGCTTTGTCTGTGATACCATCAACAGCCCGGGTGTTTTGTTCCGCAACTTTTGTAGCAGGTACACGGCTGCATTGTTCTGATACATCTCCACAATCATCTCTTCCATTTGAATTTAACCTCTCAAAGTTATCTCCCATTTTTGCAGAATTACCTCCTTCTTGGGATGAGTTACCTCCCTTTTCAGCTGAATTACCTCCCTGTTGTGAAGGGTTATCCCCCTCCCTAGGTACCATCTCCCCCTCCTCTCTGACAGTGGGCAGACACTCACTGCCAGGCTGGCTCAGCATCTTCTTGACCTTGACCTCCTTGACCTGGTTGCTGTTGGTGTCCACCTCCACCACCTTGACAGCCTGCGTGCAGCTGTCCACGTCCTTGAAGTCCTTGCCGTACATCTTCTCCTTCAGGCTGTAGTACAGCTCCACAGTGCTGCCCTGGAGTTCAGAGGGCGCGGCCATCCCGTGCTCCACATGGAGGTGCAGGGCTTCACACAGGACATGGACTTTCTCAAAACTTGGCCTGGATGGGTTTTTTTAAATAAAACATTATCAAAACTTGGTCTGGATGGTTTTTTAATTTTTTAAATGAAACATTATCAAAAGTTGGTCTGGATAGTTTTTTAAAATATCAAAACTTGGTCTGGATAGGTTTAAAAAATTTGTTATTATAACTTGGTATGGATAATTTTTAAAATTATAATATACTATCAAAACTTGGCCTGGATAGGTTTTTAAAAAGTATATTATCATACCTTGGTATGGATAGTTTCAAAAAAAATATCAAAATATGGTAAGGTTATTTTTTATCCAAGACATTTTTTTTAGTTTTCCTGATTAATTCTATTTTGTACAACTTTAATCTAGGTTAAATAAAATAATAAATAAAATTTCACCCAACATTGTTGAATCTAATATATATGATTTAAATTATTTAGTTTAACTGCATCTTTTCAGGTAGATAAATCTCAACTTTTGACATGAACTTTGATTTTTAAAATAATTTTAGGATACCAAATTAAAAAATTATAATCTTGACCTATCCACTTACTGCCTGTAATTAAAAACGTGACAAATGCACTAATTGTCTGTAATTAAAACCATGACCAGTCCACTAATTGTATTTAATTAAAGCCATGACTAATCCAATAATTGTAATTAAAACCTTGACTAATCCACTAATTGCCTGTAATTAAAACCGTGACAGGTTGACTAACGATCACAAACCTTTGGTCTGGCTCTATCTGTGAGCAGAGAACTGCCAACATAAAGTAGGGCTCTGGAGAGTTGGCACAGAACCTCTTGTGAAAGGCTTCCACGTTGAGGCCAAAGTCAATGGAGCGTGGCAGATAGTCTGGGTCAGCTGTCACACGGGCTATTGTCTGCCGCAGAAAAAATAAACATACATTTTTTTTTTTACTACACAGGTGTTTGGGGTGGAGAGGTAATAGGAAATAGATCAAAGTCTTGCTCATAGACAAATTAGTGTTAAAACCTGTTTCAGAGACAATGCTACAAAATGAGAAGACGTTCACCTTTACTCTAATAGGTCGACCTACTCATCCACTAAATAAACTCACCTCGCAGACAATACCAAATGAGAAGACGTCCACCTTCTCTAATAGGTCGACCTACTCATCCACTAGATGCGAGTACTCACCTCGCAGACAATGATACCAAACGAGAAGACGTCCACCTTCTCATCGTACACCCCTTTGGTCATCATCTCTGGCGCCATCCAGTAGGGGTTGCCCACCACGGTCTGGCGCTTCCTGCGAGAGAACCTCTTCTTCTTGCCAGCCAGCTTGCTGTCCTTCTCTGTGTGCAGCTGCAGGTTCTCATGGCGGGGGAAGATCTTGGCCAGCCCAAAGTCTGCCACCACAACGTGCAGATCCTGGTACAGTAGGGGGGGGGGGGAGAGTTTTAATGAACTAGATCCATACACACGTCATGAGCATTGTTAGTAGATTCTATCAAATATATTTAAATCAGAAAGGCAAGGGTGGTAGGTAATTTCAAAAGGTAAGGATGGTATATTTGGTTTATGAGGGAAAGGTGAAATATTTGGTTATGGAGGGAAGGATGGTATATGGAAGGATGGTACATGGAAGGATGGTACAGGGAAGGCTGGTACATGGGAGGATGGTACATGGGAGGATGGTACATGGAAGGATGATACAGGGAAGGATGGTACAGGGAAGGATGGTACGGGGAAGGATGGTACAGGGAAGGATGGTACGGGGAAGGCTGGTACAGGGAAGGCTGGTACGGGGAAGGATGGTATGGGGAAGGCTGGTACAGGGAAGGCTGGTACAGGGAAGGATGGTACAGGGAAGGCTGGTACATGGGAGGATGGTACATGGGAGGATGGTACAGGGAAGGATGGTACGGGGAAGGATGGTACAGGGAAGGATGGTACGGGGAAGGCTGGTACAGGGAAGGCTGGTACAGGGAAGGATGGTACGGGGAAGGCTGGTACAGGGAAGGCTGGTACAGGGAAGGATGGTACGGGAAGGATGGTACGAGGAAGGCTGGTACGGGGAAGGCTGGTACAGGGAAGGATGGTACAGGGAAGGATGGTATGGGGAAGGCTGGTATGGGGAAGGCTGGTACAGGGAAGGCTGGTACAGGGAAGGATGGTACGGGGAAGGATGGTACAGGGAAGGATGGTACATTTGGTTTGGGAGACAAGTTGGTACCTATATAATTTGTGTCAAAGAGTGTGAGCAGTCTAGTGACAAGAGAAACACTCACCTTTCTGACCAGACAGTTTTGTGAGTTGAGATCACGGTGGATGATATCCATTGAGTGCAGGTAACTCTGTTGGTAAAGTAAAACAAGGGTCAGTACTCTGGTCCTAAAGGTTAACCAGTGTCATTACAGTGGTGATTTAGGTGAAAAGTTAGAGAACTCTTACAGTGAAAAGTTAGACAACTCTTACAGTGAAAAGTTAAACAACTCTTACAGTTAAAAGTTAGACAACTCTTACAGTGAAAAGTTAGACAACTCTTACAGTGAAAAGTTAAACAACTCTTACAGTTAAAAGTTAGACAACTCTTACAGTGAAAAGTTAGACAACTCTTACAGTTAAAAGTTAGACAACTCTTACAGTGAAAAGTTAGACAACTCTTACAGTGAAAAGTTAGACAACTCTTACAGTGAAAAGTTAGACAACTCTTACAGAATTAAATAACTTAAAGCAAACCACAGATGATGCTGATGTTCTTACCATTCCTGCAGCAATATCTTTGGCAAAAGCTACCCTCTGTTTCCAGGAGAGTTCTACACTGTGGTCCAACAGAAGGTCAGACAAAGTACCGCCATCAATAAATTCTACACAAAAACAATACGAAAAAAAGGTGTTACAACATCATATTAAATTCACTAGATATTGAAGCCTAGCTATGCTTCAAACTTAATCAGTATCAACACATTTTAAGATCATTTTATCACCTGGATATTAAAAATAATGTTTCCAGGTTTGAACCTACCTGTGACAAGGTTGGAACCTACCTGTGACAAGGTTGGAACCTACCTGTGACAAGATGGAACTTACCTGTGAACAAGTTTGAACCTCCCTTGACCAAGTTTGATCCTACCTGTGCCCAAGTTTAAACCTATCTATGACCAAGTTTAAACCTACCTGTGACCAGGTTCAGCTTCTTGTCCCTGTACAACACCCCCATAAACTTGAACCTACCTATGACCAGGTTTGAACCTACCTGTGACCAGGTTCAGCTTCTTGTCTCTGTACAACACCCCCATAAACTTGAGCACACAAGGATGAGACAGATTCCTCAACATTGACACCTAGGGGAGATCATTTAAATTACTAGGGGAGATCATTCAAATTACTAGGGGAGATCATTTAAACTACTAGGGGAGATCATTCAAATTACTAGGGGAGATCATTCAAATTACTAGGGGAGATCATTCAAATTACTAGGGGAGATCATTCAAACTACTAGGGGAGATCATTCAAATTACTAGGGGAGATCATTCAAATTACTAGGGGAGAACATTCAAATTACTAGGGGAGATCATTCAAATTACTAGGGGAGATCATTCAGATTACTAGGGGAGATCATTCAAATTACTAGGGGAGATCATTCAAATTACTAGGGGAGATCATTCAAATTACATGGGGAGATCATTCAAATTACTAGGGGAGATCAATCGAATTACTAGGGGAGATCATTCAAATTACTAGGGGAGATCATTCAAAATGCTAGAGTTTCTATTTGTTTTATACAAGCTTTGAATAGGCAACAATGTCTGGAAGTCTGTCTGTTGTGCTGCAGTCTATTCTAGAAACTCAGTTTCGGCCCATTTCTAATGGAGAGATTCCTTTCAAACTCTGGAGACAGGTGCATGTTGATGCCAACCCAATATACAGTGTATGGTGTTGTAACCATTTATAACTGAGACTTCTCTACTCACTTCTCTAAGGAAACTTCTCTACTCACTTCTCTACAGAAACTTCTCTACTCACTTCTCTAAGGAAACTTCTCTACTCACTTCTCTAAGGAAACTTCTCAACTCATTTCTCTAAGGAAACTTCTCTACTCATTTCTCTAAGGAAACTTCTCTACTCACTTCTCTAAGGAAACTTCTCTACTCACTTCTCTACAGAAACTTCTCTAAGGAAACTTCTCTACTCACTTCTCTAAGAAAACTTTTCTGAGCGTCCTCGTCAAAGTTGTGAAGTTCTTTGAGCACCATTTTTTCTCCAGTGACACGGTGGACAGCCTAATTAACAAGACACAACAGAAATTTTAATTAACGATGATGACGCTTATAGCTTACAAGAAAAATGACAATGACAATCAAAGTGTTTTCACCACCTTTGACAGCTCTATAGAAGATACTGTTGGTCATTCCATAACTTTCAAAACATTCTCACATTAAATCTAGCACTAGCAAAAAAAAACTCATTTTTTTCCCCCAAAGTTTCAGAAAATGACACTGACCTTTATAGCCTGGCCAAAAAAGCCTTGACCGAGAATCTCGCCCAGAATGAGGTCGACAGCTCGGAAAACACGGTGCTCTTGTTGGCGTGTGGAGAAAGAATGAGAGCGGTTCAGGTCCACACTTTTCTGTCGAGCTGTGGGGCACGGGGACGGAGATTTGCTGCGTCTGCGAGATGGGCTATGTCTGACAGGGACAGAAACAGATTCGTTAGTCAATTAACGAGTGTCCTAATTGATAATACTTTGGTGTTGCAATAACAAAATATATCTTGATAGTGTTCATTTGTTTAAAACTTTATAAATTGTTGCAAGTCAAGTAATTTAAACATCATGAAGTATCAACAAGAAAAGCAAAAAACACTACGATTAAATGGGTGGTGGATGTTTACTAAAAATGTCAATGGCTTGAATTATTTTACATTAAAGGTTTTAATCAACTGAAAATATTTTAAATTATTTATTTTTCAATAACCGAATTACGCGTATACAGAAAAGTAAGGTAAAAATTATTTGATTTCAAAAGTTTCAATCATTTAAAAAATTAAATAACATTTTGAAAGGCTATCCGCCATTTAGGCAGTATAGTTTTTTCAGGCTATGAGCATTGACCTGTACACATACCCTTTAGCACGTAGAGAGCCTTTGTGTTGCAGTATGACCTATACACATACCCTTTAGCACGTAGAGAGCCTTTGTGTCGCAGTATGACATGTACACATACCCTTTAGCACGTAGAGAGCCTTTGTGTCGCAGTATGACCGGCGTCCCTTGGATGAGGACAGTCTCGTTATCAGACGCGGCCGAGCTGCTGGAGTCATCTAACGAGGTCCTGGACAAAGATTTGTTCAGCTGGAAACCTGGCAGTTCCTCCTCTGGGGCGAACCTCAGGGGGGACAAGTCCCTCTCCACCATCACGTGGACGGGCTTCTGGTGGTTGGTCAGCAGGCTGCTGATCTGTGGGGTGGGGGAGGGTTGCAGGGTTACAAGGTCAGTGGACATTCAGGTGTAGGTTTACAAGGTCACTGGTCATTCAGGCGCAGGGTTACAAAAGACATTCTAGTGCAGGTTTTATACTAAGTCACAGGCCTGAATCCATAGAACATCCGAGTCCACCCAGCTCTGATGGGTACCTGACTTACTTTAGGGGAAGTAAAGGCGGCTGGACACAGTGCTGACCACACTTTCCCTTCAAATGCTACGGTCACTCTACTTCCTCTGCCCAATGGAGAGCCATATTTGAAAGGGTCACTTTTACTGAACTTGCATGTTTGCAAGATCACAGGACTTTCAAGTTAATGAGATTTGTCAATTTTTTTTGGGGGGGGGGGGGGGGGGGGGGGGCGGCACACTTTAAATACCACAGAGTGGCAGTTGAATTAGATTTGGGTACCATGTGACCAGAGTTCAAGTCAAGTGACCAGAGCACCGGTCATGTGACCAGAGCAACAGAAATATGACCTTGGCACCAGTCATGTGACCTTGGCACCAGTCATGTGACCTTGGCACCAGTCATGTGACCTTGGCACCAGTCATGTGACCAGAGCACCAGTCATGTGACCTTGGCACCAGTCATGTGACCAGAGCACCAGTCATGTGACCTTGGCACCAGTCATGTGACCAGGGCACCAGTCATGTGACCAGAGCACCAGTCATGTGACCAGAGCACCAGTCATGTGACCAGCTGCCTCCTTACCTCTTCCAGTGTTTTGTCCCTGACAGCTGTGCCATCCACCTCCAGGATCCTGTCACCAACAGCCAGACCATTCAGCTGGGGGCTGGCATCAAGTCTGGACAGGAGAAAACTGCTCAGTTACATTGTGGGTCTATAGGGTGGTTGTGTACATAGGGGACAGGAGAAAACTGATCAGTTACCTTGTGGGTCTATAGGGTGGTTGTGTACATAGGGGACAGGAGAAAACTGATCAGTTACCTTGTGGGTCTATAGGGTGGTTGTGTACATAGGGGACAGGAGAAAACTGATCAGTTACCTTGTGGGTCTATAGGGTGGTTGTGTACATAGGGGACAGGAGAAAACTGATCAGTTACCTTG